TCCTCAGGACTGGAAACCGCAAATAATTTCCAAAACGGATCGTATATCAATGTAAAAAATTCACTGGAAGGAAACAGTCATTCTGCAAGAGGGACACACTGGACAGTAACAAGTCTTCATGAACCCAGGTTGCCTGGAAAGACACTGAAACCATCCACAGTCCTTTGAAACAAAACTGTTACTTTTTTTTTTTTTAATGTGCACTCAAAGGCAGGAGGTACAGAGAAAGGTGAAATTCAACCACCAGCACAAAGAAAGACTGCAACGTGTCAGTTAACTATCGACAGCATTTTTCTTGACGATGTAAACAAAAAGAAAAACTAAATAGCCTCTTTTCAAATTCTGATGTCAAAATACGAGGCAGAGAATTCCAAACTGATGGACAATGCCTATGAACAAAAAAAGAAACCCACTCAGAATAAGCAAAAAAGTGTTTTATAAAATTCTATGAAACTTGTAATTAGACACAAAGTTTTGAGGCAGTAATCGCTATTACAAAAATTCATGGTAGAAGAGAAAAGGAAAACATCAATTAGGGAAAACTTAAAAGTAATAGAATAGTTTATCAGCAATAGAAAAGATAGTGTGCATATGCCAAACCTTTCATTTTAAACTCACAAAAAGACTACTGGGTTTACGTGTGACTAAATCGATCGCACTCCGCATTACTGCAGTATCATGCAAGTCAGATGTGAGGTGCTTGTTACCATTATCTTACTCTTTCTCAGCCCTCATCCGTACATTATGAGAATTCTTCCTACATTACATGTTGCTTGCTAGGAACCTGGGATTAAATTGTTTTAATAGCCTGTTGGATGCTCTTTATTCAACACCTGCATTCAAATGTACTAATTAACTTCTAGTTTTCCGATACCAAAAAGCAGGTATTGCATTTTTCATTTAGACGGATCAGACAGCAATGTTAGAGAACCAAGCCTGGCAGTCTTGCATTTTCTCAGTTTATGTTTGAATAGGAACTTATTTTGCCAAAATATCTTATACAAACATTCAGTGCTCTTACATATGTAGAAACATTTTACATATTGCTCAGCATATAGGACATCGTAACTCCCTATGCTTACGCTAAGCAGAGGTTAGGTTTAGGGCGGCTCATTTCAGACAACAGTAGTCTACAGGTTTTACAGTGCAAGACATCGCTCAATGAGCCAGCAGAGACTGCTCATGTTAATTATCACTGAGTCTGTTCACATTCACTGAATCCCAATCTCACTCTCTTTCACAGTGAAGACTAGGACCTTCAGGAAGCTGATGTTGCCTCCCACCCCAAACTATTGTCCATAGCTCTGTGCTTCAGCTCACCACTACTTATCAGACATGCCTTTTAACTTCCGGCCATAAATACATTTCAGTGTGCAACTTCACATTTATGAAGGCTGACAAGCCCCAGTGTAGGCACTACTGTGAATAAAAGTTTAATGTGAGCTAATGGCCAGAATTCTTATAATATATTTCCAAATATTCAAAAACAGAAAAACAAAAATCACTCACTTAGAAACAAGTGTATTACTTTCCAAGATTTGAATGATTTCAGTGTATTAGTTGTATAAACAAAACTAAATGAAAGAGTAACAGAGCGCTGTGTCTCATTATATGATTTCTAAACACAGTTAAAAGATAACTTATGCTCTAAGTCATGCAATACATTAAACATGTATCTTGCATTAAGATGTAATTAGTAATAATCTTACTTGCTACACTTATAGCTATTTTCACCGTCCAGTTGTTCCGGTTTCACAAATTGTTCTAGAGCTCTGGTGACAGATGTAACTGCCTGGATGAGTAAGAAAGTAGAGCACTAAGTCACTGGAAATGCAAAATTTGAAACACTTACTAGTAGTTTACGAGAGAATCTTGCCAGTTCATGCTTAAGTGACCTACTGTGAACCAGCAAACACTGTGAAGGAGGCAGAAACAGAGTATGCTAAGCATTTGCCTCATTTGAAAATTATTCTACTTCAAAATAAATAAATTTTGCAATGCCACAGACAGTGTCCATGATATCCTTTAGCACCAATAATGAGAACAATCAAATTCATCAGTCTAACAATAGATGTATATTGAAGTAGAATAACCGGGAAGTACGACAGTATCATTGTTCATGTAGATATTATTTTTCCAGCTTAAATCCAATGCAAACATGGAGACCATTTACACGGCTTCCACAGAAGAACAAAGTTCAATCCACTCCCATCCACCACCAAGCTCTTTTGTTTTAACAGTATATGTTTTTAAGTAACATGTCTTTATTTTAGAAAGCTCTACAAATCTTTACACAACTCGACCCATATTCACAAAACATCTTACCTTTATATCCAAAGGAATATCGAGGAATGGCTCATATGTATCCGAAACTGCTTTGCAGTTCAAGCACTTTACTGGAATCAAAACACAAATGTTTAACAACATATGAAGGAGACTAACAGTGCAAATTTGTATTATTAATACATATGACTTTAGTCAAACTACAAACTCCTTTACTACAGACAGACAAAAAGACACAGACAAGATTGAAGGACAGTAAGATTTTTAAGAAGTACCTCGGGATCTTAGATATCCTCCAAATATTTGATAAATAAGTGTGGTGGCTTGAGAAGATCTGTCCAATCTGGAAATAAATTATCATCAGAAGATTAAAGGCACGGAGTTAACTCTTCAAACGGTTTTTCTTTTTATGAAAACCAAGGACATAGATTTTAATTTATGACAGTAAATAAAGGGGTAAGATGGCTAGAGAGCATTTAAAAGTTAATTTTTTTATGCTTACTTGGTGCTTCCATTCAAGCAAGCTTTCTGCAAAGCATCAACAGTGAAGCATAAGAATTCATGTGCATCCTCTTGACTGCCAAAATGGAAATGTTTTCCTATTCCTAATAAAAAATAAGGTTATTATATTTATCTCATATAAAATGAAAGAAAACTCATATTTCTAAAGTCTCTCTTCTTTAAAGTATCAAAATAATTTATATGCATCAAATAATTATCTGAAAAAATTAAAAAAAAAAAATCAAAAAATAAACCAATCTGAAATTACTTACTTTTAAGGCCATTGATAACAGATGTAGGTTTGATGGCATTATTAGAGCAACACAGGACCTGATTAATGTGAGTTTCCATTGTACACATCATACAGAAGCCTTCTTCATGACCTGAAGAGTGAAAGAAGAAAGCATCCCAGTCTAGTCAAATATACATTGCTACCAAAAAAACAAAAAAATTTTTAAGTTATAGGTACAATATTCACTCTCCATACTACATTCTATTCTCCCAAGCTGTCAATATCCCAGCAGTTTTGTAACATTTATTAGACAGAACTGTATAGAATAAAAATGCCTATTAAGTCATTAAAGTGCATTTTCTGATGAGAAATCTAAGTAACTATCGCAATGTCATTTTTTTTGTAGGCTAACAGGAATGTGAACTCCACAGACTGCAGAACATATGAGGAAAGAATACTGACATTGATGATACAGCACTAGGAGAGAACGTGTGTTATTTTCAGCACACTGCCGTTAGGTGAGCTACATAGCTAAGAATCCTCTGGGAGAAAGGAAAGATTAGAGTAATGTATGTGTTAGTATTTCTGCCCTCCTTTTTTCAACAGGATTCTTAACTGAAATCATTTTTATACCCGGTAAGAAAATACAGTTAAATTTCTAGGAATAAACACTAAGATACCAGACTAGAATGCAAACGGGTGCCTTTGTGAAAATACATACACATGGTACACGTGGTAAGAAAAGAGGTTCCTAGGCTTAAATAAATGCAAGTATAAAAATGAAATTCAAAGAACACAAAGGTTCAAGGGTTTAAAAACTACAAACTTTCATTTAGAATAAAATCAGTCTAAATTTTAACACAGTCCCACACACATTTCTATTTGAGTTCCTAAGAGATTAGCTCGTAGTGCTTTCTAGGGTGTTGTTTTGGGTTTTTTTTAATGGGTCAACAGTGAACATATCATTTATCACTGTATTAGTGCACTACAGTATCTAGGTTGCAAAGACTAAGAATTCACAATGCCAACATCCTAAATTTTATCACCTTTCTACCAGCAGGAAACCCAAATGCCAAATGTTCATCAAACGTCTAACTTTACAATACACTTCACTTCATTATTCACATGAAGCAAGATGTGATTTTTTTTTGAAGTTTTATCATGGTGCATTAAATGAACAAATACACTTTATATGCTATTCTGAGCCTCTCGCTAACAGAATCATAGAATCATTTAGGTTGGAAAAGACCTTTAAGATCATGTTCAAAGCCAGTTTCTAGAGATAAAACAGGATAACTAAGAGTTTTCTTCACAGAATCACTGTTCTTTCACTTTTAGAGCTGTCCAGCAGATTTACAATAATGTTAGAAAGTACTAACATGACTGGGTGTGTTCAAGAGAAAGCATGTAATTGGCGAGAGGAGGCGTGTAGGTCAAACACTGTAGAGTGGAATTCAGGAAACACGTGTTGCCGAGATTCTGCAGTCCAACTCCAACGCTTTGTGTTTGTTGCCAATCCATACAAATTTTCTCAGGTGGAAAAAGAATCCTTTGCGGAGGGGCAATTCCGTCATTAAAAACTGCAAGAAAATGGTATTTTGAGAGAGACGTATTGGTTTTGTTTTAAAAAGGATATTTAAAACGTAGCATTCTGCAGGAGCACCCAGAAGAACCAGCTATACTCTAAAACACAAAAACACACGACACACAGCTTTAACACTGCCACTCGAATCTGCTGGTCAACACGCTGTTTTGGACAATAGTTTATTCATCTGTTTTAATTCTTCTAACGCAAGACAAACTACCACTCGGATTTCAGTGACTTTTGCCAGGTTTCTTTCCATTTATAGTCTGCAATCTGATTATTAATTCGATTACCAGTTTTTTCCTTACTGTAACTTAAACTACAAACTTACACTTGTAATTATATGGTAATATATATAAGAACTATGACAGAAAAATAAGCAAGTAACTAGCACAGAAGGTAACCCCATAGATACCAGATCTCTTCCTAAGCAGCGTTATCAAAGACTCGTGAATAATGGAAGCCATGAATAGCAATGGTAAAAAGTACTTTTCTCTGCATAACAGAAAAGACTTGGGCAAGTCTGCAGTTATAAAAAGCTCTCCATAATTGACTGTAAATACATCAAAACTAAGTTACAAATAGATTGTAAATAGATAAAACTAAGTTTTGCAACACCGGTCCCTTCAGCTGCCTTAGGGGATTCACAAAATTGAAGTCTATCACTGAAGTCTTCATTCATCGCAGTCCCATTTTATAGCAGTGCAACAAATAAGAACTGCATTTTCTTCTTTTATTTTTAAGAAAAAGGAGGGAGGACAAAAGACACACTTACCTAGATCTCTTTGGGCAAAAGGCTTAGATTTTTGAGATGATCTACAATAAATATCACCTCCAGCTCCTTTGTCCACAGAGACTTTGTTTGGATCTTCTGCAGGTGGTGCCCGGCCCAAATTTGCGGTGCGTGACGTCATTTTTTTAGTACGGGGTTTCATAGATTTGTCAGACCGCCTTGATGATGATTTCTTAGATTTTGAAGATTTTGCCTTGTTAACTATGGTCATTGTTCATATCTGCAACAGAGGCAAAAGTTCTAGTTGACGTGAGAATGTCAAGAAGCATTCCAGAAAGAAAAGGAGAAATCTGGTCACTTAGTCTCAAAGAAATAACCTGAAGAACTAAATAGCTGATAAGAATGATAAAAAAACAAAAACCGAAAAACTACCAACACAAAACTAAACACACAAAGCAGAATTTTTCATCAAAACTGTATCAATATAACTTTTAACTTCTGCAGAGCTGGTAACTGATGACATTTCTTACACTTTCATGGGATTTTAACCCATTAGTTATGAAGACCCCGTTTTTTAAAAAGGAGCTGTGAGCAGTGACACATCCATGTGCTGGCCCACTGATCCAGGAGGGGCTGTTTGGCTCATCTTTTCATTCCTGGGAACCACATACTTCTGAGAAACAGAGAATGGCTTATAGCTCTGAGAAATTTTGGGAAAAGAGAACAAGAAAAAACTTGTAAATGTACTTCTGTCGGGGTTTCTTCTGCCCCTCTGAGAAATATTTGGATACAATTTTGGCAGCAATATTTGTGGTGCTTTGCATCTACCACATTTACAACTCTTACTATCAACTGAAAGGTTGAACCCAAAAGCATCTTTTTCAATTCTACTCATGTAAAGTTGTACATTTTACCCTGGTAAAACAAAAAAAGGAATGTAAGCTATGTAAAGGAAATGCTGAATGTAAAATAAAGCAAAACAAACCCTCAGCCCTCAAGGACAAAGGCAATAACTAATATTAAGTCCTTTTTAAAATGCTGATTAGGTTTCAAGATGATGCCTCTTTAAATATGTTTAATTGTGTGTGCATAGTAAGCCACTGAATAATTACATGATCAATTATCAATCTCTATATGTAAGTTTTTGCTACTACCTGCCTATAGCACGTAGGGCCTTTTTAAGCTTAGGCTTTAAAGCATAAGGTACTTTGTTATACTGAAATAACTGAGAGAACAAAGCATAAACCAGTTTCAGATTTATGGAACAACAACTACTGATAAAACTTCAGGTAGATTAAACAAAGCACAGTAAATTAGAGAACTTCCAGTCCTACAAAAGACAAATTATGTGCAAAGCCTTTAATTAGATCTTTTTCCCTTTAAATTTTCAATTTAAAATCCACTCTACACATTTTCCATTTCTGAGAAGGTAACACACAAAGCTGGAAAATTCCCTTTCATTTTACTGAGAAATGAAGACATCCTTGTCCATTTGGAAGACAAAGATGACAGTTCTTGGACTCTGTGGTTTTCATGTAAGATCCAGTCTTCCAATTGCAGACACCAGTGGCATCTCCTTTTCCAATTGAAAGGGAAAGTGTTTCAACGACATTTTTAAAACATATTTATGGGACAAAAAAACAGAATGAAGACTGCAGTGAAGGCAAACAGAAGAATATTATCACAAAAAAAGCTTGAGCATTACATTGAGCAATGAGGCAAGCTTTATGTATTATTTATTTTGACAAGTGAGTGATACGTTACCAGATACCAAGCACTGTACAACAGCAAATATCAACGCTAGTAAGAATAAATCAGATCCACCACTTTTTCAAAATATGTCAATATAATTCTTGATCTGGACATAACATCTCCTTGTCAAAAAAGTACAAAAACTATAGACACTGATATTTTTTCCTCTCCCATTGTTCAACATACATACAGATTCCGTTCTTGTACCACTGCAGAGCATAAATTTACATTGTCCATACCACTGCTGAACATAAATTTACACTGTCACGTGTATTGAGTGTTATTTCCCTGTGCAGATGTCGTAATAGACTTTTCCCAGTACAATACTGAAAAGTAAACCAGTTACTTTCCTCCTGTTTGGAGTTCTGCATCAGCATTGTTTAGATTTTGTCAGCAGTCTCATTACAAAACACATCAGTTGTGACTGGATCTAAATATTTATATTCGGTCTCCACTTTGCACACAATATATCACAGCTCAGTAAGATTTCATACAAGACCCCATTCACAAAACTGCGTTTAACCAGGGAGTAGTGATTGTGCGTTTATCTCATTACAAAACAAATGCTTTCAGCACCGACTGTAGAAAAATAACAAACAAAAATACCTATGTAGAAATAAGAAGCCACAGAAAACTACTACAGCGTAGATATGTAGACCAGGCATGTTTACATCTCTTAATTACAGACTACACTTCCACACTGCAACACTACTGCAAGCAAAAAGTAAATAAATAAAGGAAGCGAAGAAACACCCCAAAAACACACACACGCCACACTAGTTTTACTTTCACCAAAAAATAATCCAACCCCCGAGCCAGGAAACGCGAAATTAATTATCACCGTACCCTTAATGGGAAGCCAGTTATGTACGAGAAGCACAGAGTAACTTTAGCTATTCCCTGCTAAATAGTTCCCTGCTAGTTCCCGGTGTCCCGAGCCCAGCAGAGCTCCTCGGCGCAGGCGTTTCTCGCGGCGGCATTAACTGGAGGCCAGTTACGCACGTGAAGCACAGAGTGACTTTAACTCTTCCCTGCCCGGTGTCCGAGCCCAGCAGAGCCCCTCGGCGCAGGCGCTTCTCGCGGCGGCACCGAGCGCGGAGCCCGCGGGCGCCGCAGGGCAGCCCCGGTGCCCACCGCGGCTTCTCATCCCGGGCCACGACTTGCTGGGACGGGCTCCGAGCCCCCCCTGCGTCCTTCAACGCCTCCGGTCACTCTCCTCTGAAACGGAACCGTCCGCCTCCGGCGCCCTTCGGTTGCCAGCCCTAAGCTTGGAGCACCCGCCCTGCCTTTCCGAAGGGGTTTGGTTCCTGAAAACGTTTCGGCACCGCAGGATAAAAGGCTGCTCCCGCGGACAGGCACAACACACCGGCACGCAACATGTCCGTGCTGGGGAGCGG